AGGTATCTGAAACACACATTAAATTATTTTATGGTCCCCAGTCTTTCACTTTCTTTCAATTTTCTGTGGGTTAACTAATGGCATTTTGAGTTATTCCCACAAAGCAAAATTACCCCCCCGAAAGGTGATTTTTCCGAAGTCTGCTTGCAGCCATTTTTCAAGTGACAACCCTCAACTTTCTCGGGCAATTAGGACCATTTTTCAACCGTAGCTTTAGCCCTTCTGCCCTCATATGAAAGCTCAAAGACCCAGGGTGTTGATCCCGGCAACGATTTACACAATCTCACCATTTTGGGTGCCAGACAATCTCCTTTTTCAAAGGATACTGTGTGGGGCACTTTTAATGCTAATGAGCTGGCCAGAAATGCTCAATTGAATTAGTGGACTGCACCCTGAGAGAGTTGTGACATGGGTGTCTCACTTGCTGGAACCAGAGTGGCGGATTATGCCTTAGTACACATGCAGGCCTACAATTAGCACATGAAAGCTATATGCTGCACTGCACCCATAATGAAACAGCCATTTTGTTCCAAGTCTGAAGTTGGCGCTGGTCTTTCTGTACACAGCTCTACCCGAGAGACCGCACTACAGATTAGTCCGCTTGGCTAGAGTCCAAATTCGTATTCCTAGAACGCACATTAGACTTTTTTTGAGCACCAGAGTATTGTTTGTGTTATGAATATTGATTAATTAATAATACATGATTTCGACTTTTCCGTCGGTATTTCCTCTATATGTGATAAATATGTAGTACCGTTTCCTCCATTCTAGTATATGCAGTGAAACTCATCTACATTAGAATACTCCTAAGGCAACCTTTCGTTTTCGTTATTATCATGGGAAAATTATAAATTCTGGTTAGCTGCACTCTGCGCGTGAATAATCTGGGACGTTGTTTCTATGAAGCGAGTGTTTCCTTGTTGGATAGTTGACTTTGTTTCAGGAATATGCGAGTGTGAATAGGGAAGTACTTCACACGCTAGATGCCGATGTCACGTGCTGTATGGGGGCGTATAGCCGGGGCAAGATTGGCACAGAGACGGCCATTGGGTCAGACAGGAATCTTACGGTAGGACCCCAAAGAACTGCCGAAGTATGGACTGAGGAGAGCACAGTCACACCGGTTCAAGGAGACTTGACCTCTACAGCGGGAAACAAAATCCCCGATCACACCGACGACCAAGTTGGCTGGGCTGTGGCCGTTCCCGTGAGCCTAGTGGCGCTGGCGGTGGTGGTAGTGATTGTCCTCGTCCTGTGGAAGACCGAGCACCGGTTTGCCAGACAGTGGGCTGGGCGAGCCCGATTCCACGCGTACGATCGGCCCTCCCCAGCCGCGACATCGCCGTCGGGAGACGCCGGCATCGACTCCGTACCTGGTGTCACTCGCTCCGTATCCGCTGCACTGTCTCCCCCGGAAACTCTCTCTCTCCTGAACCGTCCTCCTGGGCACATGGAGGACGAGAAGGGCACGGCCGTAACAGGCGCAGTTTCGCAAACCACGAAGGGTGCAGCTAGTGCCACCAGCCCACAGAAAGCCATGCACGGCCATCCGCGACCGCCGTATCATCCTCCACCGCCTCCGTCTTCCCCAGGGCCGTCCTCGGACAGTGCTCAAGAGGAGGCGAGGGCCCAGGTTCAAGGACCCGAGCTGCACTACGCTGAGCTGGAGATAGCCAGGGGAGCCCATAAAGCACCCGCCCAACTGCTGAGAGCTGAAAAGACGGAATACGCCATCATCCTTGGAGAGCTGAGGTCACTTGTGAGCACGCCGCTTTCCATCCACCCGAACTGAGGACTGTGCATTATCGAAAGAGAGGACTCTTCTCGTTGACAATGAAGGCTGTCCCCTCGAAGCTAGAGTCACTGGAGACTTTTCGTCTCTAAGGTCTTCATGTTTATTATATTTTTCGGAACGCAACTTGTGTAACCAATTGCACCAATCTGATAAGCACATTCTGCTCTCCGAAGTTAGAATCCACAGTTGAGTCCACATTTGTTGACATTTGCTAAAGTATATGGTAATGGCAAAAAAAGGCTGAACCATAAATCTGATTATTTGTATCAGGAATTATCAAGAGTTGCTCCAATTTTTGAAGGAACCAGTGGTTTCCCTACAAATCGCTAAGAGCCTATAATGCCTGAAGGTGCAGACATTTTCACAACGTATGGAAGATTTTGCGGACTCACTTCTGGGGCCGGCGTAACGCCTCTGTAGCAAGGTTCTTGGGACTTTGAAAATGTAGTAGGCGCCCTGTTATCAGAAATTGAATAAAAAGGGAAATATTTATGACTAAGAATGTCCAAGTCCCTTGTTATCAGCAGGGTGCTGCATCAATAACAGTTCTCTTTCTTCTAGGGCTTTGACTGTTTGTGCCGTCGGAACTATCACGACTTTACATGACACTGAAATTCCTATATTAATTTGAATAAAGGGAACCTCGAGCCGTTTGGGGGTTATCTCTTCCTCCGCCGAGAAAAAAAGGTCAACGTATCAACAGTGAGAGCATTAATTTATTTTCTTTTCGCTTCTAAATTTCAAAATCACAACTTTAATCATTTTACATGTATAAGAATCGCTTTCGAAAGTGGTTGACATAAAAAGAAAGTTTAACACTTTCACTCCACTTATGTAGGATTATTTTGTAACGTTATCGAACTTAAATATTCCGAAAGATATCCCCTTTCAGACGAACTGTGTTTGAAACAAAACCCTTCTTGTTGGATGTGTGGTTTTAATCACAGTGTAGGCCTAAATTCCCAAACAAGGCGAATTGATAAATTTTAAACGTTCAATGTTTTTTTTTCCTACTGATGATAACACCTAACATTCGGTTTGACCTTCCACGTAAAATTTCTGTCGTTTAATGCAGCAGCGTATAGGATCTGTTTTGTTCCCTTTCCAATCGATGAAACTGAAATCTTTGGCTTAATTTTCGAATAAACTTTCGGAGACTATGTGTTGTTTTTAAGGCAAACGCCGTGCTATTAGAATTAAGTACGAAACAGAGCAGAATCTGTACAGTGACTGGAGGTCTTCCGTACTGCATCTCGGTTTGAAGACTGAACGAATGAATTTTTTTTTTGTTTGGGATTTCAATTCCAACGGCGTTTGCTAGTCTGCTCCGCCTTTGAACCCATGATCAGATCGGGGGTATAGGGAGACTGTTGGGTGATTATGGGACTATATAATTCTCTTGGAGTTGCTTCCTAGAGCGACTAAAAAAACAGATAAACCTCACCTCACACGATTTATTGCTGACCTCAATTGTCTTTTATTTGTTGATTTACTGCGTTACAAGAACAGGGCAATAGGCCACCGAGCAACACTTTCTAAAAAAAAAAAAAAAAAAATCAAGAAGCACATTTTGGTTTCACCATTTGACCAGAAAGAAAATTAGTGAACAGTGTCTGTCCCCCCAAAAATATAAACAATTTTGAATGCATACGATCCATGCGCGAAGTGCCTTTTTTGCGGAACGCGTCGTCCAAATAGGGGACGTGAAACGATTTTTATTAATTGAAGAAGAGTGCGGTATAGCCAGTAGCATATCAAGCTGTTGGTGCGTGTGGGGGCGGGAACAAATTCAAAACGCAAGTGCACTTTCGGGCTCATTCAACATGATAATGGGGGAGAAAAATATAGCCTATTTATTTGATAAATAAATACACCGATTAGTTTGTTTCCTCCTCACCCATGAATTAATTTCATTAAAAAAAACATAAATCAAAAATTAAAAAATAACGAGTAACCTCCTGCCCCGACTTCAACCCCCCCACCCTGCTGGATATGCCATTAGCGACAGCATACCAAAGTTGCGGATACAAAACTCAAAGCATGAAATATGTGATTTCGCCAGATATGGGTAAAACTACTTTCAATCGACCACACAATCATTCAACGGAACGGGTGAATATCATATGATGTTCTCTTAGCCTATCAGAGGGCCCGCAGTAAAAAAATAGTGAAACTACTGTCGACAAAACAGAAAACCTTCTCCTACAAAGAGATCAGAGCCAAAGGGATTTCCAATTTTCATAATCTCATATCTTTGCTCACTTCTATTTTCGAGGGGTTCAGCAAAGCTGGGGACGTATCAGCGTGGAGAGCGTGGGCATGTGGTTTGAACATTGTGCAGTTTGCTTTAAGATTATTTTCTCCTCAAGTTCTTTTTAAGAAACAATTTGTCGTTTAATTAATGTACAGGAAATTTTCGTGCAACTGAGTACGTGTGTGTGATTCTGATTCGAACATACGGAAGTTTCGAACCTCTTGACTGCAACAGTTGCGTCATTCTGATTACAATTCCGGTTTTTGAAATTCTTATCTTCCTGTAGTCCGACTTGAAATTGCGGGTTTTGAGATCGGTTGTGGAAGTGTCTGGAACGGCAGTGCATAATGTTGACCGCTTGGAAACTTCTGTTCGTCCTGGCTGGTGTCTGCACCGCCCCCACACCCAGGATAGGCGCGAACGGGGACCAGTTAGAGCGATCAGAAAATAGCATCGTCAGCTCCACTGTGAAAGTTTCCGTTGCCCCGCCGCCCGATCTCGGAGTCAAATCGGTCTGGCTCTCGGTTTGCCTCATCGTACCGGCATCTGTCGGACTGGTCGTCATGGTGACGGTGGGGTGCATCTACGGTCGCAGATGGCTATGCAGGTCCAACAGTTACACCCTCAGCCGCCCGGATCTGGACTCCATCCCCTGTCAGAACGAACCAGAGCGCACGGACAGCCCGCGCGGGGAAGACACCGTGTACAAGCCTCCCAATCCGCTGGCGGTCTGGCATGGCACGTTGGACATCAGACGGTACGGCACGGGCTGCCGGCAGCGCCCGGACGAAACCGCGCTACAGGGGACGCTCCCTCGCGGGCCCGAGTGCAGCAAGTCTTTGGAGGATGACCCGTACGAAGCACCCCCGCTGCAGTACGCGGACCTTGTGATAGGAACTCGAGGCTATGAGACCATCCGGCGAAGTCAGAAGACATCCTACGCTGATATCGGGGGAGAGTTGAAGAGCCTGGATAGGAAAGTGTCTTACAAACCGTTTACCAAAAAGAACTACAAGATGTGATACGCCAGCCCCGCTAACAGTAAGAACAAAGCCAATACTCCATCCCAACCGCTCTCACAAAAATCACAGAAAATGTTCTTTTATCATTTGTTCTTACCTTCCATTTGACGGAAACAGAGGGGGTCTGTTGTCATATCATGTATTCTCGACACTGCTCTAGAAAAAGATCTGACCATGGGTTTGGCCGTTTGGAGGAAGTTGGAGAATTTACTTAAGTAGTATCTAATTGCAACTTTCGGCTGCTTTGAAACAAACAAACAAACAAACACCCCAACACCCCAACAAACAAACAAACAAACAAGCAACCCAACACCCCAACAAACAAACAAACAAACAAACAAACAAACAAACAAACAAACACCCCAACAAACCAACACCCCAACAAACAAACAAGCAGAAAAATTAAGCAAAACATTGATTATTTTTCATTACCTATGTTATTAAGTTCGGTTGATAAATTTCTAGAGTTTAATGCAGTGTTTTCAAGCGTTAAGAATCCAATGTCGAGAATGATAGCAATGGAAGAGAAAGGATGAATCCAAACCGAGTCGTGACTTTGGTGAGAGTGGAACCTGAGTCACAGGGTTAAATGGGAAATAGTCTTCAAGACTGTTGAAGAGCTGAGACTGTTGAACAGTTTTTACTTGTGATAGAGGGCTTGCATGGCTGCCATCTTGCAGGCCAGTCCTTTTGTTTCACAGGATATGCACAAAGGAGGTTTCCCCGTGGAACAAAAGAACTGCCCTACAAGATGTGGCTACTACGCGAAACCTCTATTGTAATATTACACCTGCAATTCCTTGCATCTCCTACAGTAGATTTCAAATGTGTCTACTAAACCCTACAACTGCATCCTATAAAGTTATCAAATGTCTGGAAAATTAATTACCACGTGTGTTTTTGAAAACTGTACTTCCTTTTTTGTAGCTAGCAAAGCCATAACTTGGATTACATTAAAAAACTTTATTGATTTAGGTCATCATGACAACTTGTGACTTTGAAAAATGCAAGCACCGGCTTTTTATAACGTAGGTTTATCCTTAAAAGTGCATTTATTTTCACTCTGGCGATGTCAAGCACACTGGTTCCCACTCACCCATTTTCCTTCTAACACTGAATACCAGTGTAATCGTCCAAAAATCATTACGCACCCTGGAATAGATAAGACGCATGCTAACGGAAGCTTTCTGCACTTGCTGCAAGCGTCCTGCACGTGACTGACACTCGCCCAATCAAATCCCGCAAAGCTGTCCATCAATCCGTGTTGGTAGCCGGCTCCGTTGCATGTTGAAACTGCACGTTTGCATGTCGAAACTTCGAGTCATTCAGAAACCAAGAGTGATACAGGTTCTTCTGAGATTGCCAAGCTAGGCATTACCTTTTATAGCAGAAGTTTGGTGTGGATTGTTTATCATGCCAAAGCTGTTCAGAAACCAGAAAGTGAAATGCTAGCTGCAACGATATTTTGAACTCTACATCGAGTTTCAGGTATAAAGAGGACAACAGAATTTCTTGCTGCAAAATTAAATTTGCACAAAAATATACATACGTGCGATGGCCGTTGCGATCATGGACCTCTTTTCCGCTCTCTGCTTCTTAGTGATTGTCCGGGATGTCTTGCCAGAGCACCTTCTTGTCGAACCCCACACAGCTGTGCGAACCGGGGCAGGAACAAATGTGACCTTCAGGTGCGAGTCGGTGATCCTAGGCCGGCCCATGACATCTTGTCGGTGGATTTTCTTCGGATCCAACTCCAGTATAGTCTCACTCCTCGGAGGGAATTGGACACGCTCGCGGGACACGGACTCCGTGGAGCCACCTGAGGTCTCTCTCACGGAGAACGGGACTGCCTGCCTCCTCCGCCTGTCAGCTGTGGGCCCGCGGGACGTCGGCCGGTACCTCTGCGCCGACTTACTGTCCGATGCCCTGTCCAACGTGGCCAAGCTCGAGCTGGATTTCTCGGCCGCGCCCATCGCGTCTGGCCCGGCCACCGATCCGCACTCGACTTTGCCTAGTGACATTCCGATCCAGGAAATTTGTAACGACGGGGGGTCTTCGAAGGACCACGTGTACCGCGACGTGATCGCCGGTGTCGTCGGCGGGGTCCTCTTACTCATCAGCACCTTGCTAGCCGGGGTGGCCTGCTACTACTACCGACAGATCCGGCGCATCCGTCGGGAAGACTCGAAGATGGACCTGGACTTTATCCGCATGAAAGCCCAGGCCGCCGCTCTTCAGAAAGAAACTGAGCTTATGACCAACACTGGAGGCACAACTCGAGGTGACGAAAGGTACCTCACAACCTGAAACGGTTAGATAGCCAATATCCTCCAAAACACAGCTCCGTGCAAATACTCTGCGGAATGACAAGTGCTCCTGTCGCAAAAATAATCAGCATTTAACAACTTTGAGACAATATTTGGTCCATATATTGACGCTTATTTATTAACCATAAACGATTGGCAAAGTTATTTTTTCCCACACCTTACTGCTTAATTTGAATCCACTTCTTTTTTTTGGGGGGGGGTAGGGTTTGACGGGTTTTTTGCAAATTCACGCAAGGTGGTTTGCTCAAACTTGTGCGGTCGGTTAATGTTACTTGACTTTTCGATGTATAATTGTTACCTCCCAAGTTTTTGGAAGTTTACGATGATTTTTATCGGCTTTGGAACTATACATGATTGTGCTCTGTCAACTTCCAATAACTTGGAAGGGACAATATCTACTGTTTGTCTTTAAACTGTGTCATATAATTAAGAACTATTAGCCATTCTGGTGAGGGATGTGTTGCTAGACCCCTCGTGGACTCAGTAATTATGTTGTTGTACCTGTGTGCCCGAATGCAAGGTCTTTACGTCTAAAAAAACCCCAAAGATACAAAAAACATTTTGCAAGCTTAGCAGACATTATGTTGAGGAACGAATAGGCCTAGGAAAGAACGAACTTGAAACGATTTTCGATCGTCTCAACAAGAATAAGAAGCGCCACGAATTCCCTCCCTCCATTACAATCAACTGTATACAGGTGTAAATGGGACATGCTAATGAATATACAACTTGTCTGCTTAGCGGCCCCTATTTAGGGTATGGATTGTTGGGGAGGGACCTGCATATTTCCGGTACGCAAAATGGGGGAAATAGTGCTCTTCTACTGCCCAGGAGCTTGATCGTTCTGGGCAATGAAAATACAGTATTCAAGATAGAGGTACAAAAGTTGTACACATTTGTTAAATGTAGATAATTGGGCACCCTCCGAATGCCTGTTTTTTTTTGTGATGATGAAACTATATTTCTTGACGATTCTGGACGGAAATGAAAGGGCGCGCTCTTGTGCCACATAAAAGACAGATACTGCTTTGTAATTTGTAAAGTCACCTGTTCGAAACAGATTATTTCACGAGGTTTCAAAATAATGACGCCATCTTCCCGAGACTTATTGAAGAGCCATCTTTTGAAGTGGTCATTTTTCCTCTTTATTTGACCTCTGTATTTATACATGTACTTCAGAGGTGCTAGTTCTCAAAAAAGATGAAAACAACGAGACAAGATTCCTCGAAGTCGTGCCTCAAACGAAAACTGATATCGCCTCGATCACCTCGTACTCGTCTGTATATTTGTAAGCGGATATTTAACGTGAAAATACACTACTCATAAAAATTAAAGAAACAAGAGAACAGAATGTTTTTGTCATGGCCTGTATGGGCTACCGTGAAAACAAGAGCCATTAAAGTTATGTGACAACACCTGAATGATTTTCACATAACTTTAATGCCTCTCGTTCTAACGGTAGCCCATAATGACAAAAACATTCTGTTCTCTTGTTCCTTTAATTCTTTTGAGTAGTGTTTTTTCACTTATTAGATGTCTCGACTTGATGCTGTCTAGTTTGTATTACACGTATAATACTTTGTTACAGTGTGTATAAAAAGGTTTTTTTTCTGGAAATCAGACAGAAACGGTTTCCTTGTGCTAATGAATGCTGACTGCTTGCCTGAGATTTTCCATTCTGTAAATCTGATAATGTATAAAAATATACGCCGACTTGCTATCCCTTGAAATCCGTCATTCCGATATTGAAAACATTTTTGAGGAAGCATTGAAGATACATCAAAGAGGAGGTATCTGTCACCAACACCACGAACTGACATCTTCACTTTTGTGCCAGTTCGTGAAAAGCGTGATTAGAGCAGTTTTGATTTCACGAAGTGACACAAATGTGTGCGCGCGCATATTGTACACTCGTGCATTATTGAACACTCCCGTTTTCACGAAGAAGCACAAATATGTGTTTTGTCAATATAGCATAGAAAACAATGTTTTAAATGTCTAAAGTGATTTTATTTTACCCGTAAATGGGTGACTAAACTGAACAAAAAATGCTCTTAAAACTCGTAACTGTGTAAATTAAAGAGAACGTCAATTTCTGAATACGGCAAATCACGGAGCACGTGACGCAAGATATTTGTGTCTCTTTGTGAAAACGAAAATATCACATCTCTATAAAACACGCGTTGAAACGCGCACACATCTATAGATTTGAGTTACTTCGTGGTGTTGGTATATATTGATTTTTCATCAACACTGTATCCCCGTACTGCTTAATTGGAAAAGATTTTCATTGTATGTACTTTGTAACAGTATCGTCGTCCTCACTCAAAAAACTACACGATTCTTTTGAATTCTTTGACTGAGAGCGGATCAAGGTCGGGCCAACTTAGCCCCACCCCCCCACACAAAATGTGGCTCCAGAAATGCTAATTTGACCTTTATGTAGTGAATTGAAAGTGTTTCCGGTTTGTTCAAGTGTTTTGGTGATGTGATACACCCAACTAAAGTATTTGTACTTTAAGATTGTCCTCCCCCATCCGAGTTCCGTATCCGCCCCTAACAATGGCTCGACCTACTCCTACGTAATAGGAGTGCTGTAAGAAGCAGAAAAAATATATGACAGAATAAAAATAAATATGATAAAACTCAAATTAAGCATTTCAGATTCAATGACTCTTAATCCTCAAGGTGGAAAAAGTTATGAGACCCCATAAGCGCCATTTAAAAACAAATCGTTACTAAGGATAGGCTATTGGCGATCCGTTATGACGGATTTGAAATCCAATATTACAGAAAGGGTATGAAGCACACAAAACGTACGGGGTACGTCTCCCCTATACATTCTCCATTTTCCACACCTTACGAGATTTCCAATGAAACAGCTCTCCATGCTGTCGGTCATGAGTATACCACCGTAATCCAGTTACGATTGCGAGTATGTAATAACTATAGCGGCCGGGATTTCATTATTATTTTGTTGGGGGTGGAGTGGTGGGCGGCTCAAACGGGGTTCCATAAAAAAAAAAGTGACGGGTGAAAAGGAAATGTGCGTGTGATTCGTTTAATGGGAGCTACCGGGCTTGCTCCTTTGACGTCATCGTCGTGTTTTCCCACACAGAGCTGCTAAAACTATGGCCGTCGGTACAAAGTAAAAGAATTACATGTATTTACAAAGTATGCAAATCCCACACAGTTATCAGAAAACCAGATAATAGGCCTAACACAGGTAGTACAATATTAAGTAAAAACATAAACCTACTTAAAATTAATTTGGCATATGTTCATTTTGAGCGAAGTGGACGTAAAATCGAAAACCAACCAAAATGTGACATTTCTATAAACTTAAGCCGCCCATACAAGTTGTAGGTAAAATGAGAGTGCAATAGGCCTACGGTGCAATGGAGCCTCAAGTCGTGCCCAAATATATGATTGAAAAATTAATAACGCGCGCTTAAACAACCGTAAGCCAACGACCTCATGTATTCGTATAGTGTGTGCTATTGTAAAAACTAAAGTGGACCCGGCTGGGCATGACGTACTGGGGTAAGTGGGTATTGGGTATGAGACATTTCCAACCCCGATTCCATGGTGTGGAGTAGTGCGCCCTCACAGATCCTTAAAACTGGAAAGTGCGTTTAAATTATAGTAACCCTTCTGGGCGTGGTCGGGACCGAGATGATATGCAGGGTTTCTGGGCACTTCAGTGTAAACTTGGTGCAGTTCAGGGGACTGATTTTCTCTGTGCCTATAGGCAAGTCGAACACTGGTTGATTCTCACTGATAGACTTTACATAAAATAATGGCCTAGGTACCAGACAAAATTGACAAGTGGTTGACAAAAGTCATTGCTCGAACTTGCCCTGTGCTTTACAGTGTGCCTTCATAGTCCATCTGTTGGTTATGCTGACTTCTGTCCTCTATCTTGGTCCAGAAATATGGCGCGAATATTTTTTACTGTACTTCAAACGTTTAAAAAAAAATCCTGAAAAAGCCGGGGACGACTTCTGCCTCCGTAAATGCGATACATTTTTCTCATATCGTGCCGTGCCCTCAGTGGTTCTCCAACTTTTAAAAAATGAATTTCGGACATTTTGTCTCAGCATACTATAATAGATTGTCAGGTAGGCTCAAAACTTTCGCCAAAATTGTCCTTGGACATGTGCTCAATGTACCGCCGACACGGGCAAGAGAGCTTGAATCGTAAGTTATTATTACAACAACTTAGGAAACTGCTGATGGATTTTTCGCCTCGTATCACACACCTCGTAAAAAACGATGGTTATGGCCGGGATCTTAAAGGGGTTGGGATTCGCTATTAGATTGGTGTAGGTCAGAACAGCGGCCCTTTCCAGTTGAAAAGCCACCCTGAAAGTGGGTGAAAGATTTTCCTGTGTACAGAGTGAACCGTCGAATGGCAGATAAGGTCGGGTGCAAAGATTACAACATTTCCATCGATGACGCGTTGCCTGCGCGCGACTGTGACCTTTGGTCTTTCGTTTCTCTTTTTGTACGGTGATGAGGATGAAAGGATTTAGTTGTATAGAATTCTTTGTTTGGTTTTGGAGGTGGACAGCACTTCTCTGTGATTCGAGGTTATGGGTAATAGGTTACATCCAAGTCACTCAGTTTCTCTTCGGCATAAGCATCTGCAGATTGGTGTATTGCTCTGTGCAGAAACACGCCCTCTTCGGTTCGACAGAAAGAGGGGCCAAGATTTTAAAGCTGTTGCCCTATTCTTGTTATTACAATAGCCTAATCCGCCTTCAGCAAAAGAAAAAAAGAAAACAGTACTTTTAAAGCAATTGTCTAATCTAAAACTAGTCTACTCCTTTACTAAGCCTATGGCCTAATCTTTTTATAACAAAACCCGACCCTTTAATAGCAATAACGTAATGATTTAATAACAATTGTCAGTTCCTTCTATATCAATACCCTATCCCTTTTATGCCAACCCCCTAGGCAACTTATAATCATAGCTTTATCCTTCTCACATCTATGGCCTATATCATTGATCATGATCCCCAAATGAACGCGCGTCAGGTTGAAGAACCCGTTTGCGTGTAGTGCCCTTGCATTAATGACCTCCTCTCGAATAAGTATGCCTCTACCATGGGATGCTGAACGCACTGTAAGAAAGGCACGAATCTGTTTCTCTGAATTTAAAGCACGTCGAGGTGAAACCTTTGTACTACGCAAGACAGAACGAAGACATACCGCAGTACAATGAGGAATCCTTACAATACGATATTAATGCTGTCAAGAGTACTTGCAAAACGGAATGAAGTCACAAATTCATGCCTTCAAGATATTACACAAAATAGGCACGAATATATGTCTGCCGGGAATATTTCGACTGCCCGGGTAACCGTCGACTGGAAAGGGTTTCAGCTTCCAAAATTAGTATACAATAAACCTGTGCCGTTCGGTCCAACTACTCAAAAACTGTAGCAGGTCATACGAGCCTTCGTTGTTTACTCAGCTCAAACCGCTCTTGTGACGTCATGCTATTAAGAAAAGTGCACGTCGATTGTTCTTAATTAATAATGGGTATTAAACTGCACATTCTTTTTAAAATGACAGCTTCCGCCCAGAGCAGAAGCACCCCCTCATCGGTTGAAAAGGGTCATGCTGGTCGGGAGTATTCAATTTTGTTGGTTATGCGACCATAACACGTGCAACTTCCTGGTTGTTCGTAAACCAGCGAAGTTCAGTTCCGACAAAGGAGCCTCCGTTGCTGAGAATAGAGCACCCTCTCTTGGTCCAGCTCGGGGCTCATTGACACAGAAATGCAGTTGTGGCAATGGGCTGTAACAACCTGACGCACAGTGAGGAACGCTCTCAGTAGTAAAATAAACCGTTTGAGACGTCCTACGGGCTGATGTTCTCTCTGAATTTTTCGCTTTGCAACGCAAACCTTCTCAGTTGCTAATACGGATCTCCATTTAAAATGAAACACTCCTTTCCTTTCAATTATAGTTTTACTGTGCGCATACTCCTCCCATTTTATTTGTATTTCATCCTTTTTCGTCATTTTCACCTATCTATATTTATTATTTTGACTGTTTTTGTCTCCTGACGACGGACTGAGACATGCAGTCCGAAACGTTTGGTACTGGTATACTCCCGGTTCTTTTCAGAACCACACATACTCATAAGAGATATATATTCCTTCGCACGGTGCTACCGCAAAGCTTTCCACTTACTGCCGTCCTTCTCAATGAATAGCCTAAAATTCCATTTTTTTTTTTAGCATTGGTCTGTGCTTTTCTTATCATTCGCATTTAGTCCATTTACTCACAGTTTAAACTCAGTTCTCACTCTTTACCTGGTATTAAACAACCCCTCAAGAATAACTAAAACAATTCCAGTATTTTACAGAAGAGATTAATCGTTCAGAAACTTTAATACCTATCAATGTTTCCAAGGTGAAATTCCGAAGCACGTATGCACGAAATAATTTCCTGCAGTGACCAAGGGATTTCGATAAATATGTAGTTCCAAGTTTGCAAATGTGGCCTTCATTCTGAAGAGACAGTAAACTGTGGTCCCCAAACTACCCGTTCGACCAACTTGCTTGTTAGTGGCGTAAGAAGTCTCGCACTCCGTACAGTCATATCAGGTGAGGTAAGGTAATGAAGACATTTCCCATTTTAAACATTGATATTCACTCTCATTACTCAATCTTCATTTACCATCCAGGGACAGGAAAATGAGACATATCTTGAGTGATCGGTACAGCGTTGAGCACTCCATAATATCTGAAAGTACGTAATTTTGGCATGAGTGAAAAGGTCATAGGCCATGATCATATCAGTGGACCAAATTATAACTTAAGCCTAAAGTATGCCGAGGACACAGCCGTTATAATGTGGCACTTGGAGAAATTGCCCTATGGCGTGCCATCCTTGAAGGCTTCAAAGATTGGGTGTAGACCAGACTCTGGGTTTCAATTTTGGGGTTATAGGCGAGGCTGTTTGGCACCACAAGTTCATAAGTCCCACATCCCAAAATTCATGCAGTTAGTGACTGATGCTGCTTAGAGGCAAGAACGGCTGTGACTTCAGTCTTACCCAATTTTAACGAAACCCGCCGTTAATGAAGGTTTTGTAGCCGGATTTCTTGGGAAGGTGCATGGTGTCCCACATCACCCCTCTCCGATCCGCCCTCGGAGAGAGGAAGTATGAGCCAACAGGCTAGCAGCGTTGTCCCTGGTCCCTGAACATGCCACTGCCCTCTGATTAATTATGCTGCTCGAGTTAACGTCTGAAGTCCGCTCAATGCTGCTAAAATTAATCATGGGCCCCAGCTCTCTGCAAATTAACCAAACGCCATACCAGCCCCGGGAATAACAACATGCAGATGTTACTGTAACTTCCTGAGGAATGCGTCCTCGCTTGGCTCGCTTGTGATTTGTGTACAGTGTATTAATTACACACTTCTTTGAAATCAGAATACAGAATAATTATTTAAAAGAACCGCATCAGATCCCTCCTTTAAAAACTTCACTTACATTCTTTAATTCATCGAGTGTAATCACCAATACCTCATTTATCAGTAAGTACATGAATGCATGGATCGTTCAGTGTCGGTTAAAGATGTATAAGGCGATATACTCTATCTAGTGCACATAAATAGTCTGCAACATTCCACGGCACTGATATTTTACATGTCGTTGAGCTGTACATCATCACTTTGAAAGAAAATTAACGTTCTGGTTACAAAGTCTGTATTTTTATTTGCAGTAGGGCAGTTTGTCAAATATTTGTATCTTGATATTCTATTCAAGCCTTCATTGGCTTTTTTTGTCACTGTTATTTATATGGGTGAAACCTTCAACACAAGTGTATCGATACTGTGACAGCGAACGTCATCAGAATACTATAGCTACGACTTGCTATCCTTCTTCCAAGGTTCTGTTGGTTCTGCTTGTAAATCAATAACGATATAGGGAATGCCCTGTAGGTATAGGGCAAGAAAAGTATACAAATGGAGAGGATTTCGGGCGTGTTACCGTGGCTAAATTATAACATAACCCGGTTGGTCATATTACACAGATTAAAACATTGATCCATCTGTCGAGAAGCATGTATTAGCAGTGAACGTTGCTTAAACGTCCTTGCCCAACCAATCATGTTTACAGCTGCATGTCTTTATAAAACACATCGAGATATACCCTTGTCATGGTAATTTGACTTGGAAAGTATGTGAGATCAAAGTAAAAATTCTGGCTGAGATGAGGTTTCTTGATGATCTGCCTGTTAATGCCGTAACTATGGTTTCCATTCGCTCAGACTTCATGCTTTTGAATATTGAAATAAACAAAGCTTCATAGTGACAACCGGAATTACATACCATTACTGCGGTGGTGCAACGCTCGTGGACAGGTTGTACGCGCGCGTCACATGCCTCTTCGACCAATAAGGTATCGTGTTTGCCAAATGCATGCGCGCGTCACGAGTGTGCGTATCAGTGCATACTGTACCAACGCAGTTATGGCGTCCAATCGGATGCTTTCTGTGTTTCCTTGAAAAAAAAGTGTGCATCCCATACGACCCCCCGGTCTAACCCCACCTATATCGCTAAGGCCGTTAAGTTTTGATCCCCACCCACTGGACCACTATCTCGTGGGAGTATGCCGCTCGTTTAAACACTATAAAACACAAGGGAAGAATTTCAATGTTACTGTAAATTAACTTTGGAACTAAGGCTTTCAGTATACGGAACAGAATTCGTGCCTCTGTGGCTTAAATTGCAATTAAGACACCATCCATGCATTAATTAACCCCCTAGGCCTTTTTACTAGGAACCATCCTGAATCCTCCGAAATCCTCCAATTTTCAACGTGAAAAAAGTGCTATCAGCCCAAATCCTCCAAAATTTCTTGAAAATGTCATTAGAGGTATGCCTAACTGCCCAAATCCTTCAAAATCCTCGTTGAGACAGTGCAAATGGCACTCTTGAGCTGTGCAGTTGATTCAAAAGAAACATCGGGCTGAATTTGTGCTTGACTAAGCGCAAACAACATAAGGTTTAATCCACGACCTTCAGGTATGGCATCCTTCGAAATCAGCCATGCACTTTTTGCCATACACCCGGAATCCTCTTAATTCCTCCACTTTGCAGAGGAGGATTTTGGAGGACTTGGGAGGGCTAGGGTTAATCATTCTAAGATAAATACAACTTGCATTGCCCGACAAAATTCAAGGCGGCCTGTATAAACATGTTTCTGTTAACACTGTGAGTTGAACATCTGTTTGTCTCAAAACAGGAATTCACGCGTTACATTGTCATATGAAGCAAGATATGAGACGGAGATAACCCCTCCCCTGCTTTCTGTTTGTCATTGTCTCACTGGAATCGGAGGAATTCTTTTCAGACACCTGGGGGTGTTTGGTAACAATAGGCTAGAGTGTGTATAGCGATTGGACGGGGGGGGGTACCCCGCTCTCATTTCTTGCTGGATATACGCATTGTGGTCACCTTTTGTTGCTACATTTTGAATTAAACTCTGTGTGTTATGTACCGGGTCAATACGGGCGTTTCATAATAGTGCGCCTCCAAGAGTTTGCAACGCGTTGGCCAATCACAATGCACGAAATCTGTCGACCCAATGAGCGTTTGGACGTGGTCGACAAATTGGCGCGTTGTGATAGGCCAACGAGTTGCAAACTCTTGGAGGCACACTATTGTGTTGCCCGTATAACAGCGTTATAGTACTAGCCTAAAGTGCATGTACTTGCAAACTGCACATGGGGTATACTGATCCACTGCAACGTTTTGTCTGGACACTTTACCCAAAGTTCGATTCAAGTGGTGCAGGCCTAGATGACTGGGCGCTCATACAGGAAGACGACTTAATGGGGCTCCCGGTTGATGTTGGGCACTGTTCCAGAGCGGGGTGCCAACGCAAACACCAACCCACTAGGTGCGTTCAGGTATATCCGCGGCCGGATTCACTGCCGCGTCAACTATGCGTACTCGGACGTGTGGAAAGGTCTTCGAGACGTCCTCAGAAGTAGAAAGGTGCATGCGCAATCAGTCAGTTGGCAGTTGGGCATTAATAAAAGGAGCATGGGTAAAAATGAGATTGAGGTATCGGCATGGGCGTTACCAGGACCTAACTGTCAGAGGGGAAACACTGAGTCAGCATGCATTTGCAGGGAGCACACCTTCTTGAGACAACCTGAATGCATAGAATTGGGACTACGACGGGGATCTGGGGCCACAACAGGGCTCGCTTGTCTGATAGAGGGCACTTAACCTGTGCCCCCCTCCCCTTGCGCACCGATCAGAGAGGGTCAAAATAAACACCACATGTAGTATCAAAGTACAAGTCAGTTGGACGACGTTAGAGAATGGCTCCATCATCCCCTTCCTCCTCGCTGTCAGCTTCGATCACTTCAGAGACTCCCACCAGCTTGCCTTTCTCCAGGATGACCCCAAGCGCCGGCACGCTGCCCCTCTTGGCCACCGGTGGCATGAAGGTGGACCGCTGGTTCTGCAGCTTCTGCAGGCCGGCCACGTCCAGGGTGCCCTCGCTGACCCGGCGCTCCGAGATCTTGTCCCGGACCCGCATCTCCCGTTTGAAGTCGGCGAAGGACGAGCGCAGGCGCTCGTTCAGGAGGTCAGCGATCATGCGGGCCTTCTCCGAGCGGGTGCAGACCACGGCGTGGGCACGCATCTCTACCTGCATGCGCTGCAGCTCGTTGCGGTGGATCCAGGCCACCACGCGCGGGTACTTCGGGTGGAGACCGCAGTGCGAGATGTGATTAAGCTGGAAGAACTGGATTGAGGTGGGCAGATCCTTGATGTCCGTGCGTTCAAGGCTCATGCCATCCACCGCAACGGTAAGCTGGGCCTTGGCCGAGCGGGTGCCCTTGTTGGATTTGTCCCATATTTCCTTGAGAGGCTCATCCAGACAGTCGTTTCCCTTGCCCTGGAAGGTGCGGAGACTACCCAGGTAAAGGACGGTAAATGTCCGCTCCTTGGTGCTGGCTGCCGCAGCCGTGGTAGCCGACGAGGTCTTCGGCTTCCGTTTAAACATGGACAGCGCCATGGCGATTGAAGTCTCAAGCAATACGATATTGACGACTTTGAGTTAATGGAGACGTAGGTGGCACAGCAACGACGAACACGTAAGTCAGTTCCTGCCGGAAGCCGATTGATGAAGGAGTTACCAGTCGTGGTTGATATCTTCAAACTCGGGGAGGCAAGAAACTGTCAGCGTGGATCCGTTCAGGTGGCTGTAACACAGGCCCCGATAGCTATGCCGTAGAACTGGCAGCCGAGTGATATTTACCGATTCAGCGCCAAAAACTGCAACAAAATTGCAATTACTGTCACAACAGGGCCGACAATGATACATTAATCATTGGCCAGCGAGGGCAAAGTACCAGAACCGTTATCGGAGCTGAAAGACCGCACGTACACCGTGTGGGGCATCTGTGTAGTACCGACGCACATTGGTGTTCAACAGCAACAGGGAGAGATACGTGTTTGTCAACCTGAAAATAGAAAGATACACCAGAATGCACAATGAACTCAGAGAACTTGCCTATCAGATGATTACCATGGCAAAATGGAAGCCATCACCCTTCACTCGTTGTTCTTTTATGATGTCTTTTTGTACGTGTGTGATACAGACAGTGCAACGCTGGAATAGCGCGGCAGCTTTAAATAGACTTGTGCTTGGCGAACTTCACCAGCGACGGGTTGAGTTGATGAAGAAGAGCATGTCTCACCGGCCGTGTATGGTCGAGCCTCTCAATGCGGGGAGCGAGAAGCGAGGGCTTTTCCTGCCGCTCGCAGCCTCTGGTGTCCTAGGCGAGACCGGCTGACGTCAGGCCCCCAGACACGGGTCTAGCCTGCGCGTGAGGCGTGACCAGAAATGGAACAACACTCCGATCAGTGCATTATCTTGCTTGATTAACGGGAAAGTAGGATTGCATGAAGGTCCCTAGCTCCAATATCGGGCAAAGGAAATATGTGGGGGTGTGTTGGGGATAGAATGGATCGGATACCTTGTAAACTGCTCACGCTGGTTACAAAATAATCACCTTCAAAAGCCAGAAACCTCTCTGATAAATTGAATTTTCGTATATTATGTTTAGACGAGCCATTGCGGTACTAAAAAACAAGACTTTCACCTTTTCAGGGAAGCGCATCACTTAAACCTCGCATCCAGTAAACAATGACGATAGCAACATTTTTACAAGCAGACGGGGCAATGCAATTAACTCAGAAGATGAGGATCCCTGACAACGATGGATAACGGATACCTACAAGTCTAATTACTAGGCGAGACGACACATTGCAGTGTACAAATATAGTACACTGCCCGCGGTTGAAGATCACTGAGTTGCTGGTATTCTGAGAATACCCACAAGGCTGTTCGAAAGATTGCGAGAGGGGGAGACGGGGAGTTGGGATGGCATATGACTGCCAAGTCCCTGAGGTTCTTATGAAGACATACTGGAGATGATTATGGTGGCTAATGGATGCTCAGCCGCACGTACATGGGCACGGAGGGGGGGGGGCTTCGTGAGAGGGTAAAATTCGCCTCAGGTATGCACTTTGTGGCGATACTGTTTGGGGAAACTTTATAAGTGCTTTGCGTGTGTCGTCTGCTGGGTGCTCTTCAGCGCTGAAAATAACATCATCTCAATATGTTTATACGATTTTGCTTTAAACCATCAAAGGACGAACACGGCACTCCCTTGAGGCCAATGTTTTCAAACAACAGTCCGGACGGTTGCTAGCGTTACCGGGTGTGATCGGGTGTCGACTCGTGCTATTTCGAATATTAGTTTTTCTCTGTTATTACAGGGTCATCGTGTTGTTATTGTCATCTCTCTTACATGCTTTCCTTATTCTTATTGGCGACTCTGTTGCTTCACTGCTGTTCCTGATGTAGGCCTATAAACGCGGCCATGTTGCCACTTTTGCCGAGGACTTAGCTAAAGTGGTTGATGTTACTATAATTTACCGATGCCCTTGCATCGATCCGCTGCTGTCGCTGTGCGAGCCCCGAGCTGGAGGGAGAGAGGTAAAATAATGTTCCTAGCAACGCAGGCTCCTTGGATAGGAACTGCATTTCGCTGGTTAAATAACAAACGACTACGATATGCATGCACGCGTTACAGTCGCATCGCTACCAACAAAATGAGCACTCCCGACCAACATGGCTCTTTTCAACCGACGAGGGGGTGCTTCTGCTCGAGGCAAATACTGTAGGTTGTTCTGGCTACTCCATACTTGCCCAACTTGGGTCATTATACAAAATCAGGGTCCGAGAGTGTGACATTTTTGTGTCCCCGTTATGCCTGACCTGTGTACCTTGACATGGAATTATCACTGACATTGATTTCAAACTACTTCTATTTATTTGACAGATACTTTGTTCTAGGAATGTGTTCTGAACTTAAAAAATCATGTCCGATGTGACAGGGATAGGAAAACAGTTGGACCCCAAATTTATAGAACGACCCTTTTTCTCCCCCCCCCCATGTCGCTGTTTCGTTTGTTGTCCTGTTTGCTGGGTGTTGTTGCTGTTGCTCCTTCTGTTGTCTTGAGGTGCATCTTGCTGGCGTCCATATTTGAGGTATCGGTACACTTTTTGTAGCCGCTGCTGTAACGTGCCTTTTGCATTGCTTTGTAAAATCTAAATACTAAAACTAAAATGGTAAACGCACGCGCAGTGTGTTCATTAATGATCTATTCGATCATGAGTCGACTGTTTGTCCCTATCACTGAAAAACCCAATCTCAGACATGGTGAAAGGAACTTTTTTTGTCAGTACCGCTGCCGCAGCTAGTGAAAACTTGAAGAGATCCTTTGTTTGTCTTCCTTACGATCCCCTCCTGCCGTTCGGGGCCCGGATTCGGCCTACTTGAATTTGCAGACGGACCGTGGCGGACGCAGGGTTAAGTTGTGCGGTGAAACAGGCAACCGCCATGGCATTTCCCGGGAGGCTCTGGCTGCTAATGGCCGCTGGAAAGCTGCCGGGGTGAGAGGTGTCGCCTGAACTGAGTGACAGCGAATTGGAGCAACCTCTTCCCCCGGGGTCACTCCGTTCAATTCGTTTCCAATAACAACCCCTGGAAACTACACTAGCTCTGCCTTGGATGAATGAAACAAAAGAGAAGCGTAAATTTTGGTTTTGATATCGACCTTTTTTTGACGTGTTTTAAGGTCTGCTAATATTAGGCCCACAATGCTTCACAAGGGAATTATAGCTTTGAAACAAAAGTTTAATTATCTTGTACACAATACAGTTACTTTTTAGCAAGTTAGTTTGATTCAATTCAATTTATATTTAGTGTTCTCTCAGTGGGCTCGTTTTGTAATCGATAAGGCCAGCCTGTAAATAAGATGGCTAATACTGACGTAATCTCAATTTTAAATTCGATTATTTTCTATATTGTAAAGAGTGGCACTTCATATTACATACGCACATTATCACCCTGCTATCCAAAACGCCACGTCGTAAAGAAGTCACTTCACTTTTAGACAAGACAATACACACAAAAACAACTTCGTTGCATACAGTCAGGTACAAGACTGTTAATAACATGCACGAATTCTAACATATTTGGATATGCAAAACGTCTTTTGTCAGGAGGGAGAGAGCAGGTACGGGTTCGACGGTGCGCAGTGCTCTGGGGACAAGGTTAGAAATGGAGTCACAGATTCACTCGTCGCCAAGCGCCCGAACAGGGCGATGGAAAGGGCCGATGTCCCTGCACAGGTTTTTAGTGAAGGAAATACATCACACGGGGTCACAGCTAACGACGCGCAGAGCATTATAAATTTATGCCAGGCGCTCGAGCTCGCTCAGCTCGAGACGTGACACAAGCGGCGGTAATCATTGTCTTATCAATTCGATATTTTTTTTTTCTTTTTTTCCTCATAGCTGAAAACATTCTCACTAGACTTTAAAAAATGACCAAGATAACCGATGATTTGAAATATATTGTCAAAAGACAAGTGATCATCAGTGATACTTGGTGAGAAGATAAATTTAAATTACGAAAAAAGACATCGAGGAAGAACAGTAGTTTTGATGTAGCGCCACCACTCGGCCCACCTGGTCCAGGTTTCCTGATCACAGGGCGTTCTGTGGGAATCACCGACAAAATTAAAAGTAAGGATCGTCTATCAGATAAATCACGACAAAGAAATCCGACCTAGCAGGGTAGCTGCAATCAATGTTTTTGTTGTTTTTTTTAATACAAACCTGTGAAAATTTGTGCCTCAGTAACGAAATTTGCAACTTTGGTTTCACTATTTCATAGGGTATCTTAACGCATTTTTGTTTTTATGCTAATTAGATTTCCATATTCATGGAAAACTGTGATGTCATCTCAGGAAGAAGCCTCAATGTTACATTGGTTTGTACACAAAAAGTCCTGTAAGTGTGTAAGAGTTTTCATACATTGAAGAAAAGTACAAAGATGCAGAAGATTTGTGTCGAAGAAAAATTCATTGCAGCCACACTGTAATATACAGCTTAAATACCGAAGCCTTATAGTGCATGACACTCGGAGTGTGACGCCAGCAACATTGGGTGTGAAACACTCCTCCCTCTAAAAAAAATTAATTAATTAATTAATTGAAAAACAATCACAAAATAAACTTAGCATAAAAATTATCAACATGCCCTGCAGCGTACTTAGTCCGAGTCAGCTCCTCTCATAATTATGCAAATAAATTACGTCATTTCCAAAATCGGGCAGATGTATTCAATAAACTGAAGTACGTTTCATTCAATCAAAAAATGCAAAGGTACATTTCCAGTAGAAAAAAATGTAGCGAGATATACCGTAGACATCGAGACTTTGTAAAATGCATTCACTAACAGTAATTTATATTACTGCCAATCTCTCCCTTATTCCCAGAATATTTACTCCGTCGCAGGGATAAGCAAGGGCAGATCTGGGAGGGGGGATGGGGACACGCCCTCCCCTTTTGAAAAAAGAAAAATTAGACAGGGCAATGTTTGGTCAGTTTCCTTTCTCTTTTATCTGAAAGCGTGTACAAAGTCCCAAAATATAGCCTCACCCTTCAGACAGGTCATGAAAAGTTAGTTAATTAAAAAAAAAAACCAGACGTTTTTGCCCACCCCTCAACTTCGGTCGCCTAAACCACGCGGCTCTAGATGTGCTCTTGGTGGGGATAAATCCTTTTTCTTTGAATCAGTTCACCCTAAAGAGGAAAAAAGGTAACAACTTACGAACGCTCTGTAAACAAAATTACTGACAGGAAGTGAAATGACATACACACTGGGCAGACGCGATGACAGTGCTCAAAATCCATTTAACCCTTAGTCGCTGTAATACAGCAATACAGGCGTTCATGTGCAGACGCTGTTTTGGTTGATCAAGAGCAGTTCGCCCTCACCACAGCAGAGAATCCTTGAACTCTTGAGGAAACACTCACATCACATCGTTCCATGTCTTTCTCAATTTATTCACAACATAATCCTCCTTCCTTGAATATCATTCTGCATTACACAACCTAAAACGCAGGTTCTGAAAAGCCGCATACATGTACAAGTAAACAGGACATCTTTGACATCGATAATTACCACTGTTACATCACAGAACATGACCTATACGGTACCTTTTGTATGAAAAATAGTTCGGAAAATACAGTATACGGAGTCTACTTTTAGAACACAAGACTATACACGAGATATAAAGAGGTAATATTTGTAAGTCCAATAAATACAAAATAAAAGATTACAAAGAACGGTGATATATTCAAGGGTACAATATATACAGAAAGCTAAAATGTACAGGTCTGCTAATGCTATGATTTCAGATCATTCCCCATATAAAAACCTGGGCTTGTACGCATGCAAAGGGCAATTCTTTTGGTAAACTATTTTCAATACTCTGATAAAAAAATACTTTGGACAAGAACCGACAATTCCGTCGACAACATCTGAACTCAACTGACATCCTACATTCGGTGCTCGTGTGCAAATAGAATTGGGCCCAATCAAAGGCCGTCAAAGCACCGGTACCACATGACCATATGGTCAACCTCCCCCGATCCGCCACGATTACAGCAGGCAAGGAATTGGTGACAGCAACTGTACCAGATACATCTTGAGTTACGGTGCATGTGAACTTGACGGTGAGGATGATTATCGCATGAAACGGCCTTGAAATCTTTGTCAAAATGGCATAGTGGTTACCACTTGTACGATGTGCAGTTCTGATGGTTGAGAGTGTGCCCAGCTGAATTTTTCTGACACTTTTGCCAATTCACAAAAACCTTGAAGGCTTACTCCCTGGTAGTGCATTCAGTGAGAAAAGCCGCAGGGGCAAGCCCTCCGCCCCCCCATCATGTTCACATCAGTACTAACACCTGTGTGTTGGGTGGGGGAATTATTACTTTGCGGCTGAAAACAATTTGAACCTCCGTTTCCAGAAAAGACTCCGCCCCCTCCCCACCCAAGGCTTGATACATCACTGGGGCACCAAGGTCTTTTCCAGCCACCAATGACTGATGTACGTCTGGGCTGCGTGGGTCAGCTAGAGATTACTGATGCGTGCACCGCTGGACGGACCACTGTTTAATACTACATACAAGTACATGTACCTTTAATGTGGACATCCCCTCGCTTCCTCAAAGAAAACTTGGAGAAAATATTCACTTTTTTTCTCTCCCAGAGATATTTCTGAAAACCTTAACGTGCAGATTGAGTTTCTGGTTATCTGGTAACTGGTCGAGCAGTCTAAAACCAGGAGAAACACCTCCACGACTTGTCCCCCGATTTCTACTCTATTAGTCGGTAGAGTGCCTTCACCTCGCAGGTGAAGTGAACGGAGGGGGCGAAATAGCACACAGTCTTAACACAATGGCAAGCTACATGTAGCTGGGCAATGATATAGGGGAGGGGCTTGTTGAGGAGGGGCTCCTCATGGTCCAATCAGGACTCCCGAAGCAAAGGGGCGCGGTTAAACCCTGTAGGCCTCCAGCTTCCTCCGCCCGGCCCGGCAGGAAAGGAGGGCAGACAGCAGGAGCAGGACACACCCACCGACGGTCACCAGGTAGGCCCAGGAGATCTTGCACTCACCTGCCACAGACAGATTACAAGGGGAAAAGGGAAAAGAAAAGAAAAAATTTAAGACTTTAATCCCCGTCTACTCAGGACGGGCAATACTGTCTATGTACATGTAGGATGCTGTCAAGTTTGCAATGAAAAACAAGAGAATGAACGTCAGTCATAATTTTGAAACGGCTCTTAGGCTTGGATCTTGTGACGCGTAATCTGTGAGTCCCTGAACGGGCTTGTAATAGAGTCAGGCCCAAGACACTCTTCAGTCAAACCGCAGGCTTGATTACAAGTTCACAAGCCCTAAATAAACAGACTGATGGACCAGCGATTGACGGGGAATAATTTGCGGTGGTGTCGCAGTGACGACTTTGGCCACTGCTCTGGGGTGTGTTTTGGCAACCCCTAAACGAGAAACAAGTTTGTGACCGCTAAAGAGCCAGGAACACGCTTAAGGTGGCCCACAAAAATGTAGGAGTGGAAACGAATACATCACCACAGAGAAACAAAGTGAAGGTAGCAAACGACATCATTGTGAAACGTTATTTATGTCAAGGTCCTCATTGTTCTATTCAAATTATAAAAATTGAGGACACCCGTTTTGGTTTGCTGCACGCAACAAAAAAGTGGGGGATAATTCATTATGTGGACAACAAAAACTGGCTGCTTCTCATCCACCATTTTGACCTGGCGTTGATATCCAACTCCAAACTTTAGTTCTCGTTCGGTAGGAGCAACAATTTCACAAGGTTGTAGTCAAGATTGCGAGAAAAGCACAACCGGTGACCAAAGCAGAAACTGGGTTCCTGGCTTCAGGACCGCTGCCTGACAACAAAATGAACTCACCGAGTTGATACGCCCCTGACACCTCACCGCACACCATCTTGACTTGGGGATGGTCCCAGCCGTTGGGGTACAGGGCGCAGCCTGCTCCCACGAGGCAAGCTGAATAAGGAACAAATTGAATCTACGGTCAGTAAACATGTAATAAAAATGACAGCAGCTGGCCCAAATGGAAGGGCTGACTTGACAGCTACTGGTACATATATGTAAAAATGCATCAAATATTTTCACCTTTGATTGAATTCTAGGCGAAATGCAGAGCATACCAGACACCATTTTTTTTTAACCACAAAAATTTAGAAAATGCGGAATCCTGTAGCAACCACCATCTCTGCCCAACCCCACCCCCTGAAGCATATCCCCACACATCCAACAAAGATTCCCCCACCACTATCACTACATATAATTCCTACTCATCCAACATGTTCAAGTACTAGTACCTACAGGGTACCGGGCAATTCCTATTCCATTCCCACAAATTCCCATGTATCGGTACATGTACATGTACACCATCCAATTCTCACCCTGCCTAGTCACAGCCCCATTCCGCAATCTCCACCCACCTCACCCCATCCGACCCACCCCCACTGAATTCTTACCCAAAGTTTGGGCTGGGCCTAGACGGGAATGGATGCTTGTTTTATAATTCTAGAGGAGATTAGACCGACGACGTGGTCTGTGATAACCCGACAAGGCAATCTGTACAAGTACAGCGAAGCAGTTGATTTCACGCAACTTTACGCAAAGACGCCACATTTTATTGCCTAAGTTACACAACAAATTATGACACATCTCACACAAAATTTACGCACTGTACGCTGCCACTGATACCTTTCACCTGGAGGGTTTCAATTTCCTCATTAACTTTGCAGACTATCGGTACACTTTCAGGGCAATAATGTATGTGACCGGCTCTGGAAAAATGGGTAGCAAGTGGCCAGATTCAGGTTAGGAGTTTTTGATATGGCTGGATTGTGTACATCACAAGCTGCAATTTGATGTATGAATGACCCCTGTAGTGAGCTGCATTCTGGAGATATATGGACATTTGTATGTCCACATTTTTGGATTCAATAAAAGCACTTTTTGAGAAAAAGTGTAGCGCTTGGAAACACAATGCTATGTAGGATTTCCTACTGAAGGATCAATTTTTCATCTTTATTCATCAGTATCGATGTTTGTAGTCATAAATTCTAAAAGTGTAAATGTTACAGAAACTAAGTTTGAAGAAATTTTGCCCTCTCCGAGTAGAACGCGCCGTAACGTGTTTTGGCATTGCGCAACTTATCACCCTTTTTTGCAGAGCGAGTCACATACATTGTACGAGGTTCTGATGTATACATGTACATGTAGAGCTCCATGTTATTACTACAAGCAAAAACTTGAACGTTATAATGCGGACAGCTGAATACAGGTAGACCCGTGGCTGAACGAGACGGAAACCTTTACGACAGATAGCATTTGCTTGCAGCTCGCCTAATTTGTATGTAAGTTACATGTATGTGGCGTCCACCCCTGATGTGCGGGACAATGCACGGGTGCCCGCACATGTTGTACCTATAATTGCCTAATTGTCTGTAAACACATATCTGTGCTCTTGACCATGCTCAGCATAGGTCTACAGCATCAGGGTTGTGAGGGTACACATGTGCATGTACCAGTACATGTGCATGTACATGTACCTATATGTACAAATAAATGATTCCATGTATTCTTACAAATGGGTCATTAGGGTTTTAGGGAGACAATTTGTGGTAAATTTTTCAACCTTAGGGAAATATCGGTCATTAGGCCGAAGTTCGCTGTCCAAATTGCTCCCGATGCTCCAACTTCCAGGAGGAGGCCAAATTTTTACTGTCCAAATTTTGAGAGATGATAGATCAGGGTCTAAATTGAAAACATACAAAGTTTGGTTCAGATCAGATTAGGGAATATTTAATTATGGAACAGTAAAGTTTGTGCACGTTCTTATGGGAATGTCTCCCATTGGCCCAAGTGACCCATTTTCGGTAAACAGTATTATACATGTACGTGTATGTACAGTATATGTACATGTATCATTAAATGTACATGATTATGCTTTGGTACTAATGGGCCACTTTTTGTTCTTTTATTCTTGGCCTTAGCAAAGAGCTCTATGGCCTTAGCAAGCGTTTTGTACAGGTCTGCAATTTTCCAAAAAGAAGACGTACCGTAACCGTACACATGTACCGGTACACAGGTATCGACCAGTAGGCCTATAGTTTGGTCTCTTTATAATTCTGTTTTAAATATGGGGTTCCCGGCCGCAGTTGACTGTGGCCGTGACTAGAGAACGGGTATCCATGTACACCAATTAATGTTCACAGTACCTGCATGGCATGTACATGTACATGGTGCATGTACACATACATGTACATGTACACATTTGCATGTACACAAATGTGGTGTGCATTTCAGAGCAGAAGCTGCTGCGCAGAGTGATGGTTACTGGTAAACACTAAACCCTCATCTTTGCACTTGAGAATTCACTGGTGACAGTTACATGCTAAATCCAGGAGGGTTGGAGGGCTGAAGAGCCTGAAGCTAAATAATCCACCTGTTCAGCAGGCTGGGCCTTCAAGAGGGATTAATTGATCACTGGATTGCCCTTGTTGACTGTAGGCAATTCACACCTGTATGCATGCTAAATAAAGGTACAGTGTACATGTACATGTAGGTGCACAGCTACCCAACCAAGGCCCAGCAAAGTTTCTCTGGGCAACGGTACAAGCAGTGGTCTGCAACGGACAATGTTCCATACTGAAAACTAGTCGATTCAATTTTTATTGTCCAAATTTAGAGAGAGAGAGAGAAACCTTTGGCTGAGGAAATGACAGGTGCTCTGTCTCAATGATTTTGCTGAAACTACAAAAAACAAAAAAAAAAAACCAAAACAAAGGCACAAGTCAACCTGTCAGTGGTGTAGCTACCGGTAGGGTTTTACTAGGGGGGACAAGGGGGACACCAGCATCTTATGGGGAGGGGGCACCAGCTTTCAGTAGTACAGTTTTTTTTTGGGGGGGCAAGCTTTTGTTAGCCTTGTTCAATATCCATTCATCTGCTTTTTAGTGGGGGGGGGCACCTGGAATTTGTTGGGGGCATGTACATGTACCCCCAGGTTCCCCCTCCCCGGCTACGCCACTGCAATTTGTCCAGAGATTTGCCAGAATCACTGCAAGTTTCAATGTACCAATGCCAGAATGGTACATGAAGCTTAACTGCCAGAAAACCTGACAAATTAATCTTACAGGCTTTGTGTTAAGTACATGTACATGTACCCTATGCATGAATTCATCTTAAAGTTTACAATTAGGAAAAGAAATAACACTCCGCTGAACTACATGTAAACCTTTTGACTTGTAACAGAAAAAAAGCACTTAGTGGTATGCTGTTTAACACCAATGTTCTTACATGTATGACTACATGTACATGTAGCTTTGAGATTTTACAACTTATTGGTACATGCATCCTGTACAGTACATGTATGTAAAAGTACATTGTAAATCAACTTTAGCAAAACAAAACTACGTGTTTGTATTTAACATGCAAGCCTTTTGACCAGCAAATTCCTGTAGAGATTTGAAGATCTTACAAATCTATCCCACTGATGCCCTACCCGGTACCGGCACAAGAGACCTCTTTCTGATATTGTAAAGCTGAAAAATTGTTTTCACAGATGGATTTGATTGCAAAGTAATAGTCCGTGTACTGGCCACGTGCTGATAGTGAAGAGCCGCGGAAGAGCAACTTTGCTTGATGTACATGTACATACATGTGCATACCATACATGTACATGTACATGTGCAGGTACACACGTAACACCATAGGTGCAAATGAAATGAATGCCAATGAAAACTGTAGGGTATTTCCGCAAATGAAATGAATGCCAATGAAAACTGTAGGGTATTTCCTCTATTTATTTTACCAAAACCAAAATTAAACTTTGAGAACTTGGCTGGTTGCAAAGTAGTGCCACAAGGGATTGTTATGGGGGGGGGCAACAGAATCTTTATTTACATGTACATATACATGTGAACTGCATTCAACAACCCAATAAACTCCAGGGGTAGGAGAACACAACAATGCTAGCGAATTGTTCGGTTCGACACCCAACCATAAAAGGCCCTATCAAACACACTACCAGGGCTCTGTGCCTATCCCTCCTGATCATCAACGCCTTCAGGGCTAGCTTTTTAACCCCTGGAACCTGAAAGCCAAGGTATCCAATATCTCCTCTGCTGAGGTTGTACCGTAAGAGATTTCCAACGGTGCTCAGGTGTAGCTTTCCTTTTTTTTTTTTCTTTTTTTGTTCACCATAAAAGGCCAGCAATGCCATTGAACTTGGCCAGTTTGCTGAAAACGTTCAAGGAATTCAATCCAGAAAGCTAACACCTCCGGGTCATAAACCAGATGCCCCTGTAAATCACCAGGAGCTGGAACGGGTATTCACCACTCACTTTCACACACACACACACTGACATGTTCCCCAATCAGAGTGTTTGGGACACGTTCAGCCAGATGCAGAAAAATTCTGCGGGGCTGGCAAATGAAATTCTTATCATGCATTCCGAGCAATTTTTGGGAATTTTCAGATCAGAGATTTGCAATGCAATGAGGCCACCAAGCTGTAGGCTCTTGGGACTTTTCTTTTTCCACTGGAAAATTAGGGAATGTCCCTGGTTTTGCAATCAAATATTCCCCCCCCACCCAAAAAAAGACAAGAAAAACAGAGTACATTGTAAATAGTTACATGTATTTCCACAGCAGTCGCATTAAAGTAACAGGCATTTAAAAAATCTGAAATGAAGAAACTGGAGTAGACGGAATCGTACGCTTGAAAAGCGTGAATGTATATTTTTGTTTGTGAAAATCTGGTTTCCACATGTACAGGTACATGTAGAAAGACCAGCATCTGTGTGAATCCACTGTAATCTAAGACACTGATGGTTGTGTAAGATTAACGATGTTTTCAGAGATCCTGTACAACAGTACTCACCAGCAAAGAGTTGAAGAACTCCCGCCACCCTTCCAACTTTCTGCGTCACCAAATCTTTCATGCAGCATGCCAGGACACCGGTGAAGGCCACCAGCATGGACACCAGGCACCCGGCGCCGATCAGGAGGGTGCCCAGTTGCCACGACAGCGTGGGTATGTCCTCAAAGCTCGAGTAGCGACCGCAGCCAAGGGCGATCTCGCCGTTGGCAGTCGGGTAGTTGCAGCGCCGGAACAGACCAAAGTGGAACACGTGCCGCCCGTCCAGCGTGGCGCCCGCAATCCAGTAGGGGAAGACGAAGCCCGCGCAGCACAGGCAGGTGGCCAGCAACGAGGCGAGGGTCCACACCACCCCCACAGCCGTTAGTCCCATCCCCATGGCGATGATGGAGTCACTCCCGTCCTCTTCCTCGGTGGCATAAGTGGAGACTGTGCTGGGGAAACGCTTGCTGAATGTGCCTGGCTCCGGTATCCTGGGAAATTTCCAGGATCGACAAACAATGAGAGAGACAGACGATCAGTCGGGATCAGGAATCAAAAGGTCAGGGGGAGTGTTATGCCTAGACAGAGCATGAATCCAAAACAAACAGCAGTGCCGCTTTGAAAAGACCACAATTTTCTGATCACCAAAGCTGCACTTTCCAGACAGCTTTGTCAAACTTGGCAGCTCCGAGTGACTTCATGTCTGTCCTGACTGCACCTGGTGTTGAGGGGTACGCCGGTACATATTGTCTAGCGCTGTAAACTTTCCAAAGTGGTTCTATGAACTGGGACTTTTTTCACTCATCAGTTATTTCTGGATGACTTGAGGCGGGTCGTTTTGTTCCATCACGCACAGGAGTTCAGTGGTGAAGTGTGGGTAAATAAAAGTGCACTGCAGATCAACACCACAATTTCACACAGATATTAAACGGCTGCGCACGTCGTCCGCTCACAAAAGGATCATTGTAACGGGGGGGGATCATAAATTACAGAGTCTCCACATTGAGGCTTGTGTTGAAGTGGGGCCAACGACAATATTTTGAATCAGGTACATGTACACGGTACATAGCATAGCATTCAACAAATGGAACATTGAAGGAACCTCATAATGGCAATTCAGAGGGAACGACAAACCAGTTGTACTGCAAACTCCATTTTGTGGTACAGACATGTAAATTCCCATTTTTGGGGGTCCAACAGCTGGAACATACCATTTACAACACATCTATTAGAAAGCAAAGTGACAGGTGCAACTGGTAAGCTGTTCATGATCACATGGTTTGTGAGATTCCTGTCTGGAAAAACAGGGGCTGATGTGCCCTGTGCACAGTGCCTATCATTTTCAACTTCAGTGGAAAAGGCAATTTAAAGCAGGTAACAAAAGCGAAGGGATATAAAACACGATGAAATGTACGGTAAATGCACCATCAGTTATTATTTTTTTTCTCACTTTTTTTTCCACACGACCCTCGTTAGCTCCACATATTGCACGCTTATTAACAGCATAAATGTTGACTCTTAAAATCCACCAGCCATTCCAGTTAACAGCTTTCGTTCTTCAACTGATATCAACGGCATACATGCATGCGTAGATTTCAGCAGAATTTCAGACCTGAAAAAACGTGTAACTGTGTGTATTTTTGAAATGAGATTCCCTCCCTTCAAGAGGGGGCATAAATCAAAGAATCCAAAGGCTGATAGAGTCAGAGGGACATTTCATACCGCAGTTTCATCCGAACCTTTTTTTTTTCTGGTAACATTTGTTTTCTTGGTTCACAAGATGAAAGTGAAAGTTCTCAAAAACCCCTGAGAAGATGCAAGTAGGAGGTAGCCACAAAGCAAATAAGGAACTGTATGATGCACATAACCTGCCACACTGTAAAGGCCAAGGTTGCCGAGTATGAAAATAAATAAACAGTAACATCATAATCAGCAGTGAAAGGCCATGATTGACATTCACTACTTGTGACCGGACTCTACATGTACATGTACATCATACCGGTACATGTAGGCCAAGTTTTCTGCTTACAAGCAGACCTTCGCGCAATTTCATAGAACTACTTAAAGTGAAAAATTTGTTTAGGCGTGGAAAAATCCTTGCTTGACAAATCAGGTTTATACCAGATAAAACTTCTTGTGATGTATATTGTTTTGAAATGCTATTCACCTGTCTTTTGGTTAGCATGACAATTACATAGAGTCTGAGTTGGTAACCTTTGTTTATTAAGCAATCTTTTGTGCTTAAACAAACTCTGTGCTTAAGCAGCTTTATGAAGTTGGCCCCTTGCGTTTGTGAACAAAAATGTGATTCCCATTACCAGTATGCAGCACAGGTACCCTACATGCACATGTAGTGTCACACAGAGCATTTGTACATGTTCACAAATACACAAGTACAGTACTTAAGTTTCACGCTGTAGTATTAAAGCAGAGATCCTCCTCTTAGCAGAGCCCTGCAAATCTGTGTCAATAAATAATCCGGGCCCCAAGCCGTACCTTACCTCATGGAGATGGGATAACCGGGGGTACTGGTACCTCCAGTCCGTGACCCAGAATGACCTGGCATCCTCCTAGAATCCATTCCGGAAAGAATTTGTACTCCTAAGCTCACGACAATTAGCCAGCTAATGGTCCAAGATCACATTTCTTGAGTACCAACTTGTACGGTACACTCTTGCCAAAAAACTAACCAAGAAAATCTTCTAATTTACCAAGTCCATCAGCAAGAAACTATCGGTCCAGGACTGTTATTCTGTCTTCCCTGCTGAAACGGAATCTAACTCACGAGAGCACGCACATCTGCTCAGCATCAAAGGAATACAAAGCTTTAAGCTATTCGTCCATCCAAGTTGATCCTGGCTTCAATGCCCACTTCCGGAAACTGACGAGCCGACAAATGCGCAACCAGCCCCTGCATCTTCCGAGGGATCCTGCTAATGTCTACAAGCTGTAACACTCTCGGATTATTATCAACATATTATAACCGGTATACATGCAGTCCCTCCATATGAGCATCATCAGGTACACGTAATATCCTACACGGCCTGGCGGTGATATTCGAGCGCAAGGAGAAGTACTGACCAGCGATTGGTCCCCTGATGCAATCCAATCATTCCAGAAGTTATTGGGCTTGAGCATGGTGAGCCGGCATGGTGCGTGAATGGAATGTCAGATGGGATGCTACAACATATGGTACATATAATGACGGTACACTGTATACACAAAGCACATGTACCTACACGTACATGATCGGTATGTGTATAGAAACACTGGTGGAGCAACAAGATTAATGGGTTTTTTTTTTCTTCCAAGCTTTGGTTTGACCGCCAACTGTGAGCACCTGTACCATTCCAAAACCAGCCCACAGAATTACCGTACATGGAATACAAGAACATTAAAGTGCCTACATACGCGAATGACGAGAGAACTGTCGCTGCCTGTAATCTACCGAGGCTTTATTCAGAAAACAAAAATTGCACAAGGAGGTTTACAAGGAGATGTCCGACATCAGCCTGTCTTGTAGCGGAGGGTTAGAATTGTGTGTCAGGGTGCGGACGGCTACATGTAATTATCACATGCACATTGTATTTTACTCCATCTTTTTGGTGGGGGGGGGATTTCTGAACTTTTGTTCTCTAGCTGTTGTAATCTAAGGACCACTGGATCCCACGGCTGGCACGAGTCTCAACCTTCCTCAAGCCTGGAAAATCCCCCCCCACCTCCAGGTGGATTTGGAAGGATCTGGTATGGTTACAGTGGTAAATTACATGTACCCGGTACATGTGGTTGAGACCAAATTTCAAACATGCTAAAGAACAGGCGTGTTTATACCTCCAGAGTATATCAAGCCATCGTGCAGAGTCCAATAATTTCAAAAGTCAATTTCATCTATTTTTGTCTTTCCAAAGGGATGAAATATTTCAGTCAGTGGTTCCATGTAATGTACCACGACTGATTTTCTTCTGCTTTAACTGGTATCACTATAGTCAACAGTCAGCACTGAGGACAAATGGTTTCAAGGGGCAGAGGGTTGGGGGGGGAGGTGCGGCATCCCCAATAATTAATTCCAGTCAGCAAATGGAGCTCCAATCAGCAAAGGAATTCAAAATCGGTATATATATTTATTGTGGGTATCGCCTCTGAAGCATGAAATGCAGCATACGGTACCATGGATTTCTGTTTTACATGACACAATGTTGGCAAACAAGTTACAGGTCGCCAAACTAACTCTGGCACATCCCTCCCTCACCCCCCCAAAAAATTGCCTTTGCTACGCCCCTGGCTCTCAATAAAACCATGAAGCTATAAAACGGCTCCATGATAAAACCAACAGTAAGGCATGGATGAAATTTGAACAATAAACAATATTGTACATGTAATTCACAACAGCTACTTGGCTGGAAAGCAAGTGTTTTTAATTCTTTTGTCACAGAGCACATTCGGTACATGTACCCCGTAGTACATGTAAGACCGACACCAATTTTCTTCGCTGACATGCTGCCACATGTATGTGGAAAAGAAATAATGTGACATCCTTTGAACGCTACCCTTTTGACGAACTTTGGATACCTTTCAATGCTACCCTTTTGAGGAGCTTTGGACACCTTTGAATGCTAGCACTACAGTGTATCCACATCAACAAGACTGGACTGAACAGCTTTCCTTTCTCTCTGAATTCCTGCCATCCTAGCTCCATGATCAGACACAACAGCCATATTGGCACGAGTGCTGATCGGATGCACGGCTACCGGTAGATGAACCGTGAACACACAAACCATCATCTCCGTCATCATTCCCAAGCCAGTGCATGATGGCATGAATTCATCACGAAACTCTCAGTCTCAGGGGCTTCAGAGATGGGGTTGGAGTGAATTAATAATCACACAATGAGCAGACTGAGCGTGTCTGGCCACAATTTTCAGCTCTGTACAGTGCATGAACAGTACTTAGCCACTCGTACAGTGTACATGTACCTGTGTGTTTTTCGCCAAGCTGATTTTAAACAACCAATATGCAAGAAATCACTAATAATAATAATTATTTATTCATTTATAAAGCGCAAATTTCATATATAGGTTCAAATGCGCTGTACAATGAAGACATTAAGCGTGGAACAATGAATACATTTAAACATGGTTGAGCCGATGGCATACAAGGGCACCTCGGGCAGCCGTCAAACGATCCACATTCACCAACATCAGTAAAGGGGAGACAGTAAGAAGCAGTTACAGTTTTAGAGGTGGGAGGAAAACCCCAGAGGAATATTCTGGGTAAAACCCACGGAGTCAGGTGGGGACTGAAAACCCAGTCCGCATGTGGACCGGACCGGGAATCGAACCCGGGACCACAGAGGTGGAAGGCGAGGAAAGACCTACCTTGCCAACCTGACTCCTCACTGAGTCTAGTCTACACATGTACCAATACTCAGCATATATCATGCGCAGGACGGTGCACACAAAACCCTCTGCTGTGGCTGGGTAAGTTAACCACAAGCAAAACAGATCTCAACTTTTCCTAAACCATTGTTGACCGGAAATTCTCTGAGAACTCAAGGTACATGTCCAAGATAAATCCTTATTTTAGTACAGATAACCACCAGATTCTCTGGACTGCACAACATTTCACTACATGAAGCACAAAATGTTGTCTCCACAAGTACAGGATTCTATGAGCAGTAAATCCAAGGGGCTAGGTAATGTATGTACATTTACAAACATGTACACATGTACATAACCTGTGGCACAGTGTGCTGGTGTCCAGGTACTGGTAAACATGGGTACAATATAACATCACCAGGGGGTCCCCTCAAGACTGATTGATACTCTCCTTTAGGGGGCACCATAAGTGCTGAGATAATAAACAGTTTCTGGGTTCATCACCACAGGGCCAATAATTCACATCATGTTAACAGGGCCTTAAAGGGTGGATTGCTCTACAGTGTATGCTCGGATGTGTAAATTCAAAATCTGCATAGGCTTAGTGCAGCATGCATGGTCGGCCCAATACATGAACAGGTTTCCTGTTCCAAGTCTTCATTTCAATCACTGTCAATTACCGGTGTGTATTATGTACCCACTTGATTGTTACTAAAATGTGAAGGCAGGCACACATACTCACATGTACATGTACATGCACCCATTACATACAGTACATGTATGAATACAAGTTGTGGGGTATTTCCTTTTTCTTCTATACAAAACTCCCACGCAAACGGAAAAAATTTCAAATCACTGCCATTTCAACCAAGTTCAGTTTCCTGGGTTGAAATTTCGACCGTATGTCCCTTATAAAACACTTCAATTTGCGACAAATGAGTGGCACTTAAAAATTCCTCCTTTTTTAGTAAATTTAAAATATCTAATCTATTTCGTGAAATTCTTGTGGGGTACCACTTTAGAACCCCACAAGGTTCAAAACTGGCCTTGTGGGGTACATGTACCTTCCATGTACAAGCGCACATGCACCTGTTCACAGAGTTTCAACTCACTGGCTCTTTTTGGAACCACATGCATCTTCCAAATATTCACATGGTGCTAACCTAACCTTATGGGTATGCAGATTTTGTCACATCTCTTACCCTGCGCCCCTGCTGCTGGCCTCTGCTCTTTGAAATAACACATGCACCACATGCCCAAGTCATTTGGGGACATTAAATATATTAATCATAATTAGGAACCCAGAAACATTGCTTGTTTTCAGTTTTATTGCCACAGGAATGACATTCTTGCCAATTTTGAAACAAAGCTTTTCATTAATTAGTTCATGGTGAAATAAATGTGGAAACAAGTTAACTGCATTCAAGGGATAGTTGACTGAGTGCAGTATGACCGTACAGAGCAGCACCACAGTGCACAGCATTTTGTTGGAGAATTGCAAGCGGGGGGGGGGATGCAGAATGGGTGTGCGCTCTGGCAAATTGGCAAAACAGTTTCAATTGTAAATGTGGGTACTACAAAGTTGGAAATACCAGTAGATGACACCAGATAAAATAAAAGAAATCCATTCACACACTTGTAATCAGCACTCAAATTAAAAAAAATTGGGTTGTATCGAATATTTGATCGATTATCGAATATTCAAATACTATTTTCCGAATTTGAATATTCAAATAAACTTCAAAGGGAGAATCTTCTTTTGTTTTAAAAGAGAAAAATTAATTAAAATGTACCGGTACAGTTTTGTGCATTACTGCGACTGATTTTGTATAGAGATTGTTAAAAAATATGCCGATCTGTATGATCGAAAATTTCGATATTGGATCGAATTGAAGGTTGAACAGTGAATTAATCGAAGTGACTTGGCCCTAAAAAAAATGAAAAAAGAGCAGACATGCATGCATGCTGTGTCGTTTTTGCAGTACGGCTTTTTAGACAGTATTTAATGTTTAAGAACTTTGCCTAAACTTGAAAAACAAAAAAAAAAAGAACAAAACATAGTGTCCAAGCAGCTGAAGTTTAAGACTCACTGCAAATAAAGTGGAGTATCCAATATGTCGCACTGGGTGTCCAGCAGACAACGGACCCAACCCTCCGCCTAGAATCCTTAAATGGTGGAATGCAAAGCAATGTTTTTATGGCAAGTAAGAGCTCAATTCAATTTGCCTTGCATACCAAAATAAATTATACCATACATGTACAGCCACACATGCAACAGGGCCACTCCCTGAAGCACAACTCCCATCCAAATTGATCAATTACCCCATATAATGCACAATGGCTCGGCCGGCCGCAGGGCTTGGGGCATGTACACATCATGTGCAGATCTTATCTCAGAAGCTCCGCATTCAATCGACTTGTTCAACTATTTTTTGCGGTTCAGTGCGACAAAAGTGTTGAGGTTTTTTTCTGTCAATGCTGTGTACATGTATACATGTAGGCGGGTGACTTGGTCCTGTGGGTTATTTCAGTGTTTTGTGTGGGTCTGGGTGTACATACTGTACGACATGACGCAATGCACACAAGAAGTCTAGGGGACAGTTA